TGTTTACAAGAATATTATGTTGTTTTTATGTTTTTTGCTCTTTTTTCTCTGTGTATGTGGTAATTATCTGTTTGGGTGGTCGAATTGGTGTTAGTTTCTTCATTAATATTTGGAAGCATATTTCAAAGGATGCACGGAGTTATTGGATTCTTCTTCTTATTATTATCATTATCCCGTAGTTGTATAAGTGTATGATGACCTTTTAAACAAGTTGGCTTCATGTAAACTAGAGTCATAAAGCACTTGGCAAAAATGCTGTAACGCGTAGAGTTTTCATAATCTTGAAGCATAGTCGAGAGGTACTCAAAAGATGATTATTATGCTTGTGGCGTATTAATATTTGTGGTTCACTGGCACTATATCTGATTCACGACATAGCGCGCCCCTTAGCCAATGTCTTTGGCGAGTATTTGTCCTCACACCCGACCTGCTGCACCCTACTGGTCACGACTTCTCACTGGAACCCCAGGTAACTACCTACCTGAATAATGCCAGTCACCAGTGAGCATCTCATTGATATCCAAGTGTTGGTTTGTAGGGATTTGTTTGATTGGTTACAGGATTTCATCATGAGCTGACATTAGTTAGAGAACCATTGGAAAACCTGGGAGTACTGGACAGCTGTTTCGTCCTAGTTTGGGACTCTTCATCAGTACGCACCCACCGGGATTCGAAACCAGGACCTTGTGTAACCAATCAAATCCCTGCAAACCAACACTTGACTATATCTGATTGATTTTCTTTGTCATTTTACTTAGAGTAAGAAATGCTAGCAAATTATGAATTCTCTGATTTGAATGAGTATATAAATTTATAGTGAAACAAACTTGCTGTACTTTCATTTTAGTCTACTTGAATGGGTAGCATGAGGACGGTCAATTAATTACTGTCTGAATTTTCTCAGGTTGTTGGTCTTATGTGATTTTGTATTGTGTGCATAGCATAGAGGAATGCTGTAATCATATCAGATGTAACGTTCGACTGTTTTAAAGGTGTTTTATTGGCTTTTGTTATACAGCTGGATTATCTGTTGTGACGTTTGCTATACTATGCAGGAAAACACCTCACAAAAAGCTTTTATCCTCAGGCTACGATTGTTGTTGTGAGTCATATACAGGATTGTAGGTGGTGTGGATGAAGTGCTCGGCGTTGAACAAATCAGCAGTGCATGAAAAATCCCTATTCGAACATTAATAGAGAGAAGATCAGTAGTTCAGCGAAGAGTCTCTTTTCGGCGAATTCATTTTCTTAACTGTACAATCGCAAATATATATGGGTTATTTTGTATGTATGTGTACATTAAGTTTGTCAAAGAAAAATACAATTGGTTAAGGTTACTTTAACTAAACAGTTGAGAATTAGTAAGTTTTGGGTGGAGTTACGTAATACGAAAACAGTCAAGGAAATTGGGTGTTAATGAAATTAGGGCAGTAACAAAGGTGATGAGTTGTCACAAACGATTGTTGAAGATGAGTTACGTAATAACATAGATAGTTTGATGAAGAGTTGTGCTCAGGATGAACATGGAAACAAAATAAAATACGGAATTACGCAAGAGTTTTAAGTAGTTATAAAAACAAACAAAAGCAAAAGTTAAGTCAAATCAACAGAGTTGTTACCATGATAGTAGAAGTGGCTGAATAATTTGCTTTTGTATGCATAGTTCTGGTTCTTCTAACTGAATGTCTAGGGCTTCTGCAATGCAAAGATGACGGAAACGTATTGTCTTTGGCAGGTTTTTCTTCACTTTATAGATTACTTTGAAGAAGGCGTTTGTTGAGATGGAATGACCAGTGGTGACGAGATGTTCGATTATTGCACTCCTTATACGGCCACTACTTCCTTTCTGCAACCATCCTGGATAGTGTTCTTTGACCCTTTTTGACAGGATGCTCATAGAACGACCGATGTACCTGGCTCCACAGCAACAGGTGAACTGATATATACACATAGAAGTGGTCAGGTTCGAGATCTTTTCCTTCGGACTTCTGTTGATCAGTGGGCAACTGGAGAACACTACTTTCAGTGTTGCCGCGAATAAAGTTCTTCTTAAAGAAGTGGAAATCCTCCTCTTAAGGATATCACTGATTTGAGATCCACTAACATGACCCTGAAGTCGTTAACCCTAGTTTAGATGCACTCATTCACTAGATTTTTGGGTATTCTGAACATTTTCTGTCGTCTTTTGTCTTATTTTCCTCCATTTTATTCTAAAATATTTTGCTTATTATTAGATTGAGGTTTACTTTCTTACTTTGTGTGTTATAAAATTTAGCAACATGAACTTTTGTACCTTGTGTGAAACCTTATACTTCTGTGCTAACTAGTATTTATTTTTAGGATGAGTGGAATATAGTTTGGAATAACTTTGAATTTATTCACCATTGTAAAAATGGGCGTATACTTGGACAGAAACCTTTTTAACGAATAGCAATTATCTTAGATGAATGATCAATTTGCTATTCGTGTACCCTTTCACGAGGAAATCGAATTAATTAAGTAATATTAAATTAATTATTGGATTTTCAACTTCAATGTGGTCAGTGTTACTATACGGATCAGAGACTTGGTGCCGCGTCACGAAGGGCACTTTGAACAAACTACAGAACTTCATCAACAGCTGTCTTCGCTCAATACTCAGGATCTGATGGCTAGAAAAGATGAGCAACAGGGATCTCTGGGAGCAAACCAACCCAGCAGGAACCAATTGTGCAAGAAATATGCAGGAAGAAATGGAGGTGGATTGACCATACTCTGAGAAAACAAACCACCAAGTGACATCACATGCCAGGCTGTCGAGTGGTACCCGAATGGGAAGTGGCGAGTTGGTCGTCAGTGCGAGGGTGACAAGGAGGAGATGAGAGAATGTGGGTAGATGTGGAGCGAGGTGAAAACGTTGGCGGAGGACGGAGCGCGATGGAAACGTGTGGCTGAAGTCCTATGTTCCTCTAGGAACTAAAGGAGACAATAATAATAAATTAATGAAATAACATACTTGTCTCTTGAAAGATCTTTTGAAGAAGATATGTGCTGTATTGCGTAAAAACAGTTCCAAATAAGTACTGCCAGGAGTAACCCGGTCAAACATATGATGTTACGATTTCTGTCATTCGTAAACAAGTGCTCGGAACTTCTTTAAATGGATATTCAGATGAAGTCATAGTTAAGGTTATAATAATAAGTATTAATCTTCCATCTGCATTGCCATCATTATTTTGTACTTCTTTTTGTTATTAGGTACTTGATTTACTTTAAGTGACTTTTACTCAATTATTGCAAACTTCTCAAGATTAAAATGTCTACTTAAAGAGTGTTATAGTCTTGCAAAATTATTATTGATGAATTTTGCTATCAAGCATATTTTTTTTTTTACTTTGAAGAACTTAATTTCTGTTTGTTTAATAAGTCTATCACAACTGAAACAGTGCTATTTATTGAACAACATTTTGTTTTGTATCCAATTTATTATCGATAAATATGTGAGACAGCATTATGCAGTAAGTAATACTTCGGTAGATGATTCCCGTCTCTGCACTCTTGATTTTGTCTACAGAGCTTTTGACATATGCCTTGAAGTATGTCGCCTTCAGTGCTTCTGGTTTTTGAACATGAATTCAAAACATTTTGACTAGCATTTATAAGAAATTTCTCCTACATTGGTGTTCTTGGGATGCTAAGGAGCAATGACACTTGAGACTGCTAGTGATATGGCTTGAGTTGGTCCTCAATGGCGTAGGTACATCCACTGTTTGTTGTAATCTTCCAGATCGACTAAATCTTCATGTTTTACCACACCGCTATTGCTTTCTCCCGCACATTTCTGCTTCTTATATTTCTTTTGATTTTAAAATTTTTTTTTCTACCTTTGTATGGTACTTGGAATTTAGCACCTTGAACTGCTGCTGCACCTCTGTGAAAATTTCTACACTGTATTTCAGCTAGTCAGAATAGTGTATTCTGTCTTAGTAAATTGTGTTCGAACACGGATTATTTGTTCACGAACTGTTGAAAATAAAGAAGCGGTAGGTTTCTGTTTGTGCGTCGGTGGCATAGCGGTTAGGACGCTCGCCGACATGATGCACATGGTCCGGGGTTCGATCCCCGGCCGGCGCACTCCTTTACCTCGCTAAGCCAGAAGTAATGCTGGTGAAGAGGAAAGGTTGGGCATGAGGCTAGCAACCCCACCCTGTAAAATAAACACTGCTACAGAAACTTCAAGCCACTAGCTTAAAGCCTTATGTTCCATTGGGGAACGTGAAAGAAAGAAGGTTTCTGTTTGAAAATCTTCACTAGTACACAAAAGTGATTTTGTATGCAGTTAAAAAATTATGACCATCTGGTTACGAGATGAGCACAACTCACGTTTCTGACTAACTCGACACGTAATACTACATGAAGCTTCAGTATTTCCTTAATTTAACGCATGTCCGAACCATTTAGTTATTGTATGCATGGTAATATTCATCCTCTCTGGTTTAGATTTTAGATTAAATTGGTCAGTAGATTGAATTTTTATGTCCACTAAAACTGAACCAATCAGCCTGTGAATCCATTGTCCTATCTATACATGTTTATTTCGACGTTGTAAACGCCGATTACCTTGCGTGTGTATACCGATAAATCTGTTTTGTTTATTTTTTTGCCATTATTGTGTTTAGTGTTTTTTCTTCTTCTAGAGTTCATTTTTGTCTTTTGTTGTTTTTTCTGAGGTGTCAAGTTTCAGTTTTTATATCTACTAAAATGTCTGTGTAGCAAGTAGCATAGTTATATTCACCATTTGGAAACTGTCAGTTATGCTACCTGACCACCCAAACTGAGATAGATAGATAGATAGATAGTGTTCCGCAAACGTCATATTCTGCCAAATGAAATCCATCAGCGTAACCTAAGACATACAATTAGTCGAAATGTTGATCAAACATTTAGCATATATGATATGATATTTACTATATATTAACGTTTAGTAATCGCCTTTTCTTTTCCCTCCACATTCCATTTAGATCCATTTAATTCCTCAGTGGCAACTATTTTGCTCATGGATTTCAATGGCAGTTCACCAGATTCGCCTACCCGCGTTGATTCTAGAAAATCAGTGGTGGAGATTACCGCTTATGAAAATCAAAATATTTCATTATTTTGTTTATTTAATTCTCCGAATCCATTTGTAGCCAAAGTCGACGACTACTCAATGAATGGTTTTAATGAACACCACTCTTTTGACTCATTATTTGGTAAGTTTAAAGACTAATGTAGAAAGTTGGAGTGTGTGTATGTTACAATGTTATTTTTTCCCTACTGATTTGAACTTTTTAAATAACTCTGGCTTTTATTTTTTATTTTCTAGGCGTTTTAGACATACAACATTTAACAATGAAAGATGAAGGATTATACTTTTGTTCAGCTGACAATGTTACATCCTATGCTCATTTGCGAATTCTATGTAAGTGTTTAATCCTCTCAGGGAAACTGTATTCATGCTTGATTTTCTTGATGTATTTGAAATGTATGCTATTCTGTCTGATTATTGTGTGTAATGAAATTTGGATTCTGCGTCGATAGTTCAATAGTAGCATACTCGCCAAACACGCCTGTGATCCGGGTTTCGATTATTGGCCAACGTACTTTTAGACCTCGTCTAGTTTAGTAGTCGGTAGTAAGCATGGGGAAGAGGGAAGGTTGGACATGAGGCTAGCGAATCCCCCCTCCCCCGTGAAAACAACGCTACCGCTATTCAGACTTCAGAGCCGTAAGCTTACAGCCCCATCTTCCACTTGGAGCTTAAAGGAATGTAAAAAAGAAAAGGAAACATTTAGATTGTAGATAATTATTTTGCCAAGTAGTTTCTTCCTAAATACCTTTTATTTATTTTTGATGCTATCTAAATAATCTGTTTATCTAAATAAGCATTTCCTTTTTCTTCATTTCAAGCATCACCTCAATTGATTGTTTATCCGAAAAATATTCAAGCAAATTTGGGTGATTCTCTTAATCTCTCGTGTATAATAAGTTCAAGAAATGATTTAACACCATTTTGGTGTTTCAACGGAGTTTGTAAACAGTCTACAGTGTCTATAAATCCATGTAAGTATTTGTTTTTATATTTTTGAAGAATAACATGAATGAACAGTAATAAATATTCTTTTCTGATACCTCTATGTAATAAAACTATTCGTGATACTATATGCTTAAGTAAACTTCAAATGATAAAACTATGATGGATCAGTCAAGCGAAACGACGTGCGAATGTGTTTTACAGATCGTTTGACTCGAGTTTTGTCCAAGAGGGTGCAAGAACACTATCTGGCATGGTTACGAAGAGGTGGAAGTGGAGCAATAAGAAGCGCGATCATTGAACATCTGGTCGATAATGATCACTCTATCTCTCTCTATAGCCTCCGTCTTTAAAGTCATCTACAAGGCAAAGAGTAATTTACCCAAATCCCTACTTACCCGACTCATCTGTATTGCTGAAGCCATCTTTGGCTATCGAAACATAAAAGCCAGATCTCTGTGTACAGAAAAAAGTTCGTTGAACCCCTTTAACTTTCATGGTCTTAATCCCTCTATGCTAAAGTATGGTAATCCCCAATCATATTTTGGCTCTACCAATTTTTCACTTTTTCATTTTGTCTATTCAATTTGTATTCTCTTCCTTTATTACGTCAATTGTTACTATTACTACTCTCACTTTGAACTGTCCCCGGTATTGTTTCACTTGTTCCACTTGTCATTCTAAATCAATTCTTTTTTTTTTACAACGTTAAATTCTATGCTATCAAATTTCACACAATATTAAGTTACGTTTTTATTTTATTCGATTTGTCTACTAATCCTTTAATTGCACACCCTTTTTCAAGTTCTATCCATCCTATGAATTATTCTTTATATATGACATTAATTTGTTTTGCCACTTGACATTTAACTACGATTATAATCACAAACATTTTAGTTTTAATTGCATTTCATACTATTATTATTATTATTTTTTACAGATCAGTTTGAGATAGATGAGGAGAAAGGGTTATGAGAGATTAAAGTTGATATTATAATAGATTACAGTTCAGTTACATCACTATAATAATAATAATAATAATAATAATAATAATCAAATAGATATCAGAGAGGGAGAATATTGACATTAGTCAATATTATATCCATAGTCTATAAGATGCTTTGTTATTGAACTTCTTAGTACCTCTACTTCAACCTTTTCAACTACTTCAGCAAGTGCTCCATTGTGAGACTAGACAATCCCCTTTCCCCTTACAACCTATCATATATTTACTTTCACAAACACACTCAAACTGATAGACTCAGATGAAGGTATAGACGATTGTCGATCGACCTTTTCCAGATCGTTGAAGCACCTGCTTAATGGTGTTAAGGAATATAATCTTTGAAGCGTAATAAGTTCTGATAGCTTTATCAAGTCTTCGTTTAACTACTTCTTGTATATCTATCATCTCCTTTAACTGAAACAAACTGATGTGCACACCTTTCTATGAAACGGTTTGGATAGCTGTACTGGCTCGTAATTGCTTATCAGTCATATATATATCTTCCGATTCTTTTGCACACAAAGCACAGGTTGTTTCACGCGAATTGCAATAGCCTCTGCTGTTTGGAGCCTGCGATGCTTCGATGTTTTTGGCAATTTATTAGGCACCCGGTAGATGATAGAGAAGGATTCTTCAGTGCTGGCTTTGTGGCCGGTTTGGATCAGTTGGTCTCTAATATCGAACTGTTGATGGTTTTTACTACACCTTTACTTAACCATACTGGGAGATGTTCTCGAGCTGGCACAAAAGATCAAGTTCCTAGAGCAACGGCCGATATAACTCGCTCCACAAGCGCAGTTGAATTGGTAAATACAATTTGAAGTGGCTAGTCTAGGTACTTCATCTTTCAGTTGAGGAATCACCATCGATCATGTACAGAATAAGACGTGAAGTTCGCCAACTTTAAAAGTACTTTGAACTGATTTTCCTAATTTCTTCGCAATTATTTCACTTGATATATATCGCCTTTGAATTGCAGTTGTATATAAAGAGGCTTCTTGTTTACGGATAGTGAGTAGTCCTTTTTCGCCTTCTTTGTCATGGGTTTCTTGATAAATTTGTCAGGATAGCTATTTGTAGTTTTGAAATAGTTACGTCTTAGATACATGAGCGTACCTCGACTGGTTTATGAGTCATTTATGTACACTTAATTAAACATAAAAAACGAGAGTGAGTTAAAGTCTAGCTGATGACTAGATCATTTAGAAACCAATTATTTATATCGATTAGGCAAGTGTGTCGGTGGCACAACAGTAGAATGCTCATCAACCGTGTATGTGGTTGGGGGTTCGATACCCGGCCAACGCATTCGTAAACCTCGCTAACCCAGTAATAAGAATGGTAAAAAGGGAAGGTTAGGCATGAGGTTAGCAACCCCATCCTATAAAATTAAACACCGCTGGCTCTAGCTTGAAGTCCTATGTTCCACTGGGAACGCAAAGGAATAAAACAAACAAGGCATGAATCCAGCATGGTTGCAATGAGTCAATGGTTATAGAATTATGATAGTGCCAAAATATTCCGAAGGTGTTATCAATTTTGTACCCTTGTCAGAATTTATTTTGCTGTAAGTATGTTTTCAAATTCAGCTGAAACCGTGATGTTTAACACAGCTTCATTTTTTGCAGACGCCTATTCCAATAACAATATATGTATATGTCGCACTGTTCTATTCACTAGCTTGATGACCAGTAAGTTAGACTTTAGGTGTCTTTTTACATGGTCAGTTGTCACATTATATAGGTATGTGGTTTATCTGCAATTCACTGACTTGTTATAATACATGTTCACTTTACAAGATGAAAATCAGTCTAAATATATATATTATATGTAGTGAATTTCTTCATTGTGAGACACTTACTTTGTTCAAATTTTATTTCATATAATGATAATGGTAATTTTTCACTGCCACAATTGTTAACGTTCACATTCCATTTTAATGATGATATGTGTGAAAAGAACAACGGCATATCTCTGCGTGTAACAAGTCGTTTCTTCCTCTTTTTGTTTTTCATTGTTTCATCTAGACATCAACTGTGCACAGGCTTTTTCTCCCTCTTTAATTATTCCCTGCGTTTCTTTCTCACACAATCATACACACTCGGACACTCGCACACCTTGTCTCGCCTGTTGGATTTTCCTCTTCTTCTTTTTCTATTCTTTTACTTCTTTCCTGATTTTAACAATTTTTTGTCGTTTTTTTTGTTCGCTCTCGTTTTGTCGACATTTTGCTTGTTATTTCTCCCATTTAAAAAAAAATAAGAAATAAGACATTCAAGCGGTTGAAAATGAAAATTATATGAAAGTTGAATGAATGAACATCAATCACTTCATAGCTGCTGCCTTCACCTTCTCGTTTCGTTAATCTCTGCCTCTTTCGTGCGCGCTCCCTCTCTCTCGCTGTCTCTGCCTCATAAAACACAACACTTCTTTTCTCTTTTTTGCTTTCTTTATCTTCTAGTGTTATTCTTCTCGTTGTTGCGGCGGGGATATGATATATATAGATATATCACATCATTGTGTATTGTGTAGCTAGCTAGTTATCTGTTATATTCAAAATTTTGACATTGAACATGTAAGATTTGAAGAAAAGGAAAAGAAATGAGGTGTATACATGTTGATTTCCTTTCTCTATTCCACGGTAGTAGAAGTAGTAGTAGTAGTATGGAGTGATAAACCAAAGTAACACTTACCCATGTATTGTCACCGTCATCATGACAAAGACAGGAGTAGCGGTTATACATGAACAATAACATATATTTGTACATTATATTCACTATGCTAAACTTTTTTGTTCAACTAGTGTTGTTAGGTTTATGAGACTTGTGTGTTTTGTCTTTTTCACCTTATATTATTTAGTATTATTTCTTTGTGGATTTTTCTTTCTTTCCTTCACGTTCCCCAGTGGAACATAGGGCTTCAAGCTAGTGGCTTGAAGTTTCTGTAGCAGTGTTTATTATTTTACAGGATGGGGTTGCTAGCCTCATGCCCAACCTTTCCTCTTCACCAGCATTATTTCTGGCTTAGCGGGGTAAAGGAGTGCATGGTCGGCGAGCGTCCTAACCGCTATGCCACCGACGCACAAGACGCACTTTGTGGATAGTCAGTAATAATGAGCTATCTGTCTTTTAATCTTATAACAGTATACTTCTTGAATTCTGTATACTTAGTGTATAACTAGGGTGGTCTTAAAAAGAAAAAGTTGTGAAATTAACCGATTGAGTACATAAAGAAATTGTTCCCCTTTAGTAATATCGATTATCAGTCTTGTATGACACTATAATATTTTCTCTGGCCATTGACAGACAGTACACTACTACTGCATAGCTCCATATATATAAATATGAATTGAAACCAAGAGTTAATGAAATTTTATTCTCAGAAGTCTTAGAGACTTAGATTTCACCTATATCCTATGCTATATCGAATATTGATATATTAAGGTATTTTGTACTGAATCAGTCAGTAGTGGTTCAATGGTAGGATTCTCGCCAATCACTCACGTGATCCGGGTTCAATTACCCAACTGACTCACTCCTGAAAACCTTGCCTAGTTTATTAGCCTGATAGTGAACCTAGAAAGACGGGGGACTAACAACCTCACCCTTTAAAAAACAACACTGCCGATACTGGAACTCCAAAGTCTTAAGCCTGAAGTGTTATGTTCCACTCGGAAGTCAGAAGAACGGAAAGAAGGCATTTTATGTGTTTGAACAAAGCAAGAACTACAGTTTTAGCAGAATGAAGTGGTACCATCATTTATTTCGTTGCTTTCTCGTCAGCTGTTTACAGGGCAAAGACATTATTCAATGTATCTACAAAAACAATTTGAACATACTTGCACAGAGTTCATTTTAAACAAAAATCAATCGATCAATATACGCATACACTAATATATATATATGCAATATTAAAAACTATTCCGAACAATACTAATCATACAAAATGAAAACTTTTCAGTGTCTCTCATTAGGATGAAAAATATCCAGTTACCAGGGCAAAGAAAGGCTGGTAACCGCTTCTTTCTGAACGCATAAATCAGGTTTCAGGCGCTTGATGGAAATAGCTTCAGCAAACTCTTTTGCTTATTGATAATTTTGAATGGCTTTTCGACGTCCACCTGATGACCGGTGTCGAGGAGATGGCTGGCGATGGCACTGTTTAAAGAATGTGTTCCCTTTAGACGTAAGCTTTTTGGTACATGTTCAGAAAATCGTAGACATGCCCTTGTTTCTGTTCTTCCAATGTAACTGCTCCCGCAGATACTTGTAAATTTGTATATGCAGTTGGAGTTCACATGAGAAGGATATCTATCGATTTTTGACTCCATCAAAGAGCAAGTTGTTCGATAGACGGGAACGAGCTTCGCTGCAGCATAGGCTATGGCTAGTGATGTGCTCAGCCTTCTGCATTTTATGTGTATGAACCTAAGTGATAAGAGTGTTAATTGTAGTTGACTATTTCTATATCACTAGTTAAGCAACTCGATGGAGTAGTGTACACGCGAATACAAGATTTCGTTCAATTATGTGTTATATATGCGAGAGAGTTTTTAAACTATTCCGTTAGAAAATCTCTGTTTTTACTGCCTAATAACATGTATGCGAAACATATTGTAACCCCCTTTGTCTTGTATAGGTTTTTAGAAGCTTTTGTTTCGCAACGGTTTGTTTATCTACCTTTTTCTCTCTCTCTCTCATTTTCGTGTATATTTTTTTTATGAAATGGATAGAGAAAAATGATAATAAATTAATTTTTAACTTTGTTCTTTCTTTTCTCTCTCTCTCTCGCCATCCTTAGATCACGCTAATTTATTAATTGATTCACTTCAATTATCAGATATCGGTGTATACCAGTGTATCGCAAAAAATGGTATCAATATGTGGATAGATTCTATAGTCACAGTTATTACACCTGAACAATTTTTATTGTCAAAAAGTGAGCTAATTTCATTGCGTTATGTATGTATATGTATAAATGCCGTTAAAAAAATTATATCCGATTTCAAATCTTTTTTTTTCGTTTATAAACGATAAAAGTCTCTCGCTTGCTGCACAATTTCATATATGAGTTATGTAAGTTTTATGTACTGTCTAGAACATAGGTGAGGTAAATGCAAGAAGCGAATCTTACTGATACTGTGAATTGCAATTAATAGTGTTCTCTGAGCTGGTTGGTTTAGTTGTGGAGCTTTCATCGTCCTTCTGGACAACATCTTCAGCGCAATATTTAGCATAAAGTGAAGGGATTTAAATTTTCCATGAGTGATAGAATTACGTCTCCTGGTAACCATCTTTACACATGGATTTTAAACTTTCTGGTCACCTGATTTACTTTTTATTAGTTGGTATATTTCGTCTATATTAACGTGCTTGTTAATTGCATTTTCGTTTGAGTACCAGGCTTCTAGGAATTCCCTGGCACTTTTGGTGTTTGCTCTGTCTAAGATTTTGACATTATCCCAATCAAATTGATGTCCATAATTGTCTATATGCATTGATACTAAAGAATATATATCGTGTCTTTTCACAGCTAATTTGTGTTCTTCGATTCTAATTCGAAGGGGACGCCCACTTTGGCCGATGTAATGCTTGTTACAGTTCATACAATTTATTTTGTAAATGGTATTAATTTTATCTCCTTTTTCTATTGGATCTTTCGGTTTGCATAATATCGAATTAAGCGATTTGACTGGCTTGTGTGCTATATCTATATCAAACGGTTTCAGTATTCTAGCTGTTATTTCAGAGATATTTTTCATGTATGGTAGGATGAATTTTCTTGTGGTCTTTGATGATGGTTCTTTGTTGGTGTTTTGATTTGACTTCAAACACTTTTTGATGAAATTTTATGGATAACCATTCTTTTTGAAGACAGTTTGTAGGTACTTTTCTTCCATTCTTTTCAACTCTGGAGTGCTACAATGTGTTTGAACTCTTTTAAATAATGTTTGCACACAGTTTCGTTTGTGAGTAATTGGATTATTGCTAGTATAGTTGAGTATTTGATCTGTGTGCGTTGATTTTCTATATACTTGTGTTTCTAAATCTCCTGTGTTGGTTCTCCTGATTAAGACATCTAAAAATGGGATTTTGTTATAGTCGATTGCATCTTTAAATCAGTCAAGTTCATTCACTGTAGTTCGTAATGAGCTACACGTATTGTGTGAGAGCTAATGATACCTGGTTACTTTGATTAGACATCAGGTAGTAACTAGTGTCATGTGTCTAGTCCTTTGTTTAGTGCATACTGAATTCTGTCAGTAAAGTTTTCAATGTAACCACAATGCTAGGTGGCTCGATATCACGGTGTGATCTGAATTGTTGTTATTAAATGGTTGGAAGCAATCGTCAGAAAGCCTTGGATCTAGGTTTTGTGCTTGTTGGTACTCGTCAGAACAGTGTATCTGCTATCTTGTAGGAACTCGTGTCCCTTCTGAGATTCGAACCCGTGTCACTCAATACTGCAGTCAGAGATGTTTACCACTGAGCTATTCGGACTGGTGATTGACCTCCCGTAGGACTGTATTGTATACTACTACCATCTGGTTACCCTGACCTCGGTAGGTGGAGCAGGGTTCGAACCCCTAACCCACTGGTCGGAAGTCGAGTGCCTAAACCGATGAACTACAGCTTCAATTAGCCAGTTGAAACAACAGAGTTTCTAATTCGCCCATTCATTCATGCCATCACTTAGACACCAGGAAAATTTATTGAGGGAGTCGAGAATCTACTTTCGTACAGCATGGTCACCAAGAATGCACAACACAAAAATTATGTTGTGCAAATATATAGTGAGTAGTTAGCTTATCGATTAGCTCAGGATATTTCTGCAATTAGATCTTTGTTAGTTTAAGTTATAAGCTGTTTACGTATTGCGTTACTGTTATCGCACACATGTTTAAAACTAGTCCCAAAAATACTGACAGCACAACTGTTCTGTCGACTGTGATAACACTCCATGTGATGCTCATATACATCCCATCTTCTGTTATTCCGTTGTAACAAAAGCAAACAATCACAGTGTTACAGTTTAGATGGTGTGTGGATTTCTATTACTGAAGTAGCCATATCAAAGTTCGCTTCTTTATCCCGCTAATCGTTCATATCACAATCAGACAGTTAAATTTTTTTTCAATTTGATAGTATACTTTTATCGCTGAATGTCGGACATCTGTTCTAGCTTTAATGTGGTCCTTTTTCCATCGTATCGCTTTATGAAACTATATTTCGTCATTTAAAAAAATGCTATTTCATTCCACTACCCCTTTGATCTAATTGTTTCCGTGCATGTTACTTCCGAATCAGGTTGTTTCAAAATGAGTAACTTTTTATTGTAAATTAGCCAGTGGTTCTTATTAAATGGTCTTAAGCTAAATCCTTCAAAATATTAGATTGTTAATTTTACTTACAGACACAAATGAGATCTGCATGAACTAGTTCGTTTCCATTATTCTTGTATTATAGGAGGGCACTGAAGTTGAAACTAAATCGAATGTTAAATATCTTGGATTATGTCTTTCCTCTGATCTTTCCTGATCGTTCCACATTCTGCTGACTTCTAGAAAATTGTTTTGTCTAACCTTCTAAATACGAAAGTTAAGAGAATCTGATGCCACTCAGTCAGTACTTTTGCAGTTTGTTAATTCTCGTATTCTACCTATTCTTCTTTATTGCTCCCCCTTAATCTTTCCTGGGCTGTTTAAAAAAGACTTTGGTACCCTGCGAATGACACTAAAAGCTGTCAGTAGGGCGAGTGGTGCGCCTCTAAACCAACTTGTTGACATTATTGTTGTTGACAGAAGTAAAAGCTTTTGCACGAAATTGTCAACAGTCATCTTGTCTGACTCTCAACACCCTCTCTGTTCACGACTCTCCGCCTGCATCTCCTCAGATAGGACAAGAAGCTATTTTAAGAGACTTTAAGCCTGCACGACTAAATATAAAAACTTAACGATACCTTATTCGGCAAGCATTTTAGATTTGCAATTAGTAGTGTTCTCTGAGCTGGTTGGTTTAGTTGCGGAGCTTTCGTCGTCCTTCTGGACAACATCTTCAGCGCAATTTTTAGCATAAAGTGAACTGATTTAAATTTTCCATGAGTGATATAATTGCGTCTCCTGGTAACCATCTTTACATATGTATTGACCATTTTTTATTGATTTGGATTTTAAACTTTCTCGTCACACGATTTACTTCTTATTAGCTGGTATATTTGGTCTATATTAACATGTTTGTTAATCACATATTCGTTTGAGTACCAGGCTTCTAGGAATTCCTTGGCACTTTTGGTGTTTCCTCTGTTTAAAATTTCGACATTATCCCAATCAAATTGATGTCCATAATTATCTACATGCATTGATATGAAGGAATATATATATCATGTCTTTTTACAGCTAATTTTTATTCTTGTATTCTGATTCGAAGGGGACGCCTACTTTGACCGATGTAATGTCTGTTACAGTTCATACAGTTTATTTTGTAAATGGTATTGATTTTATCTCCTTTTTCTGTTGGATCTTTCGGTTTGCACAATATCCAATTAAGTGATTGGGCTGGCTGGCTGGCTTGTGTTCTATATCTATTTCAAACGGTTTCAATATTCTAGCTGTTATTTCAGAGATATTTTTATATATATATATATATATGGTAGGATGAATTTTCTTGTAGTCTTTGATGATGGTTTCTTGTTTGTGTTGTGACTCGATTTTAAACACTTTTTGATGAAATTGTGCGGATATCCATTTTAGATGTTGAGAAAGATTGAAACAACTAGCTAGCTGCGAAACAGTAAATAAACGGCTCTCTTTATTCTTCCTGTCATTAATTTATTGTTGGCATCATTTCTATTAGTTTTTAATTTATTTTTACATTATATTATTGCCATTATTATTACTATGAATATTTTAAAGTTCCGTAATTATTTTCCCCACGTACTACGTAACGTAAAGAGAAAATTAGGTGCAATATTACACTACATTGCGGAGAACTCCATATTGTATCATAATTAGTGTTTGGAATAAAGCCATTTTTACTTTTATCCTTATTAGTTTTTGTTTTATTTTGCCACTTCTTTGATGATTGTGTTAACTGATGCATTGCCTATTTCAAACTGTATATCACATTGCCCATCACTGACATTTTCGCCTACTGTAGTTAAATCGATAGTCTCTTACATTTCCCTTTTTACTTCTGTTTTTAGGTCAATTCGATACAACTTTGTCGAAAATTCTTGCGCCTCTTCAACTTGAAACTGAGTTGTTAGAAGTACAGTTTGGAGATACAAGACAACTGAAATGTTTATCGTTCACTGAAGTTGGTTTAAACAGCAGTAAAGGTTCAGAAATTAAAGAATTATTGTTACATTCTGATAAGGCACTCATTAATCTCTTAAATGTACCTTATCTTTGGAAGTTTATTCATGTGGAATGGTTGAAAGATGATAAGCCTCTTCGTATGTCAGTATATAATGTCTCTGATCATGAGGAGTTGGCTTCTTCTGCACATTATGCAACCAATGTTACCATTAATCATCCTAATGATTATGGAATGTACAGTTGTAATGTGTATCTTGGAGAAAAGTTAATACTACAACGATATTTTTACCTTATAAGATCTGATACATCTGCATATGCCGGTAAGTTTTAAAGGAAAAACACCTATTGTGAGACATTTTTATTAGTTTAAATGTAGAATTTATGAAAGCTAACCGGTTTCAAACTGGTTTTCCTGCTAGCTGACATTAGTGTGCAGCTGTAGGCTAAAGTCGAATCATGTAGTCTCATGGCGACCTTGCTTACAATTCAGCAGTTCGGTGAGAATCCCCTAGTGAATGTTTTAATCTCCTACCGATTAGCCATGAGTTAGTTGGTTTTATAGGCTTGTACTGTCTGCTAATTTTGGAATCGATTAGAAGAAAAACGGTAAGGTCGGCTGATCATTTGTTAATAATATCACAAATTTCTCAATGCTATTTTAAAATTGCTCAAAGTCAAGATCAACATCAGCCGTACTACATTTTTTTAGAAAGTTTTTTTTTTAATTTTCAATAGTAACATTAGCGATTATGAAGATCATATCTGAGAATGATTCTTTAGTCGTTTCACATCACTTTTCTGTCTCTTCCTCCATCTCTTTCCGTTATTTTTATCTTCACAGTGTTATCATATCCCACCACCGCCCCCTTCTGTCACCCATCATAAGGTGTTTCTTGTCGCCAATGTTCTGACGTAAAATAAGCTTAAAATAAGCAAATAGCCTTTTTGTGTTTGAACATGCTTTTAATTCAACAAAGAGTCAAAGTTCAACATATATCTTATGAGAATTTGAGTGCAACTCTGTATTATGCAATACAGCTGACATGAGTTGACCAATATAACGAGAACCCTGCCTGTTAACACATTAGTAAAGTGTATCTGCAATCTCGAAGAAACGCTTTATCATCTCAGATATTCATAATTCTTTCTGTTTACTCACTGTCAGAGTCAGTTACTTTACGCTAAGCAACCCCCCCCCCAAGTATTATAGATGAACATTGGCTTCATCTGCAAGACGCCATGCAAATGGTGAGTGTAGCCGCTTGCAGCTTAAAAGAATGATCCGCTAAAAACAACTGGGTTCCTGCGAGTTCCTTGCAATTCCTGGATGGACGCTGATCCATTCCGGCTGGCAGCGAATACAGCAATAAGCGAAAGGCGTTTACGCGCAAGATTAGATAGTGTTTACGTAGGGACCGCGAAGCCTGGTGGTCAGAACGTGCGTATGAGTTGGAGTTAGCTGCTGCATCTGGCAACAGTCGGAAATTGTTCCAGCTCATCCGAGCCATCGGCAGCAAGAAACAAGGTGTCAGCGAGACGGTCTGTGAGTCAGACGGCACACCAATTACCAGCCTGAAAAGACGCCCGGAACGCTGGGCAGAGCACTTCGAGAAACAGTTTAGCTGCCTGCCAGCTTCATTATATGCTGTCACTAGTTCCAGTGCTCCTTGGTCGGTTCCTACCCAACCATGGACATGTGCTGCGAATGTCATCCCAGAGGCTTCCGTACAGATCTATGTTCGCTAGCCCTGGGACGGGATGGAAAAGGCGGAGAGGCGGTTATTTCATGACGTGGCGTCGTGGGATGAAGGATATTTGTGCTGGGTTAGCATCGGTTCGTGCGAATCCGAGAGATAGCTTGAATCGATGGCTCGAAATGTTATCATATGTGGCCAAGAATCGTAATCAATGGCGAACGTGTTGCAATTTCCTTCTCTCTTCCCTTCCTGATGATAGTTGACGAATGCTGTTTGAACTTGTTAAGTATGACTGTTTCCCTTCCTGATGAAGTTCTTTATCCGTTCTCTACTATTATTTTTACTTTTAATCTGTGTCCTTTTATTATTATTTTGTGGCGCATCATCTTGGTGCCATATTGTACCGAGTTTTTCTGCGTTTAAATAAGTAGTATAAATAATTCACAGAGTGACTATCCCATTGTATGATCAGACTATATGTCTATATGTTCGGTAAAATTCTTACCAGAGTAACTGTCTTTTCTCAATCGACAACTTCTACATCTTTGTGGAGTACTATGAATTATTAAAAATACTCATGTAAGGTATACATTAAAAAGACATAGGTCAGCAAAGAATATTACTTTCATAACTTCACTTCAAAGTTGTACAGCTATACGGTGTTGTAAAAGGTTAGGGAAATGCCTATGCAGTCATTTGTTCGCATCACAGTTGGTAACAAAAATGTATGAATTTAATAGATATTTAGACTTTAATTCATCTCATCCTGTAACTGTTAAGGCAGGCTTAGTTAAATGTTTAACAAACCGAGCAATGGCACTAAGTAGCACAAAAAAAGACCTTAATGATGTAATAAAACAGATAGAAGAGGCGTTGGTTTTAAATAACTATCCTCTAAAATTCATTAGGAAGATTGAAAAATGCCAAAACAAAATTAAAAAGAATTGTGAAACTAGTAGTAATAAAATAAATAAGAGAGAATATAAGTCATCTACAGTTATACCATATAAAGAAGGGACATTTGAGACCCTACGTAGGATTCTAAATAAAGCAGGAATTAGGGTGGCATTTAAACCTACAAACTCACTCAAGGACAAGCTCTGTAGGTTAAAGGACCCAGTGGACCCAATTAGACAAAATAATATAATTTAAAAAATACCCTGCAATGACTGTGAGGTCAACTACATAGGTCAAACTAGTAGGTCAGGGGTGGTCAGATTGTCAGAACATAAGAATTTAGCTAAGATAAGAATGGTTGACCCAGAGAAGATAAGTAATTTAGAAAAAAGCTCGGCAATCGCAATGCATGCATTAACACACAACCACACAATAGGGTGGGAGAGGGTTAAAATTCTAAAAAGTAATCTAGGTAGGTGGAAAGAGAGGTTGATTACTGAATCTTTGTTCATCGAATCTACACCCAACACATGCAACAGAAGTGACTCAATGCAAATACCAGAAATATGGAAGATATTATTGCCGCCAGTCAAATCAGAAGAAGATGATAAATAGTCTTAAAATTCTATTTCCATTCAAGCACATCATAACATTCTAACAATCAACTTATTATGACTGTAAAAAACACTCGTCGTATTTCCCATCTAATTGCAATGGATTAATAACACTCGTACTATTATTTCTGAATGTACATTATCTCATATTGAATTTTAATCCAATATCTAGTCGATTCCACACATGTATATAAATGAAGGAAAGAAGTTGTGTGAGTAACTTGATATGATTATGAGCAATAGTTTGTGCTCGAAACGTCATCAGTAAATATTACTGTATAACACTGTGAGACTCTATCAAAATAAAAATTTACCCATAATGGAATTACACTCTACCACAGTGCCCAAGTTTTATTCTTATATGTATGAATTTATATATCAAGAAAAATAATAAATTACGTAATCTAAAGATAATAAGTGGTGAGCATCGTTCATAAATGATTACCATTATAAGAGAAACTACAAGAGCTAGGGAACTGGAACATTGTTCAAAAGAGTAAGAGGTTCAGAATATTAAAATATATATATGTATATTTTGAGGTTAGGAGTTTAGTAAGAAAGAGTAACAAGAAGACAAAAGCCGAATGAATGTGATTGCATACCAAGTTATTGTACGACTTAAAAAGAAAGTCGGGTAGTAAAGGGATTGGATGAACCGCTTCTGTATACACAGTCCCAGGTTTTTCCTAACCCTAATCCTTCTGTGGACATAAGATGTAGCTGAAAACCTTTCGGATGACTTGGCTCCTTGCATTATACATCACTTTGAAGATTATTCTATTGATGCAGAATGATTTGTAAGAACAAAATGCTCAAGAGTTGAACTATTAGTTCGTCTTATTTCTCATATTGACAATCATATTGGGAGATGTTCTTGTGAGCGTCTAGACAGTATCCTACTGGTACTGCTGATGTACCTAGTGCTACAGGAGCATGCGAATTGATATATACAGATGAATGTTGGCAAAAGTGAAACATTGTCTTTGACGTTTCGATAAATGAGAGGTTGTGTGAAAGTGACATGTAAAGGATGTGGCGAAGAATGTTTTTCGAATTGCTCTCGATAATCTGCTTCGAAGGATTTCAGCTGTTGTTTTATCTTTGAATTTCAGGTTTAACAGCAAGTTTTTGTTTTGATACTTCTGTCTTTTGTGGATTATCCATTTTGTGTTTCATATATTTGTTAACGAATGCTGGTGAATAACCATTCTGAATTAGAGTGTTGCAGAAAGACTTCAGTTCTCTATTTTGTCTGTCTTCCGTACATTTGAGATTGATTCTTGTGAGAAGGGATTCGCTGAAGTTTCTTTTTCTACTTAGTGGAACGAAGGTGTAGAAGTCAGTCAGCTGTTCGTTACATTTTGGTTTGTGGTGAATTGATTTCTGTACTGATCCATCATTTCTTCTCGAAAGCTGAACATCTAAGAAGAGGGAGCTTTCTATCTGACTCAACTTTTAGAGTGATACAAATTGGTCGATGAGTTTTTTTATGAAATGCTTCAAGGACTTTATTTAGATCAACATTTCCATCGGCATTTGCGAAAATAATTAATAAATTATGCAAGGTTTTAGGGCTTCAACTGCACGCCTGCACTTGAAGCCCTATGTTCCACTAGGAATCCAAGGGAACAGTAATAATAATAAGGTTTTATGTCAGTAATGGTTTTGCGAAATTTTGATTATGCAAAAGACTAATGCAATGAGGCAGTAAACATTGTCCTTTGATATTGTCGATATTGTTCACCAATCGTCAGCTGAGTATAATTTTTTTTATCCCTTTGCGTTCCGAGTGGAACATATAGGGCTTCAAGCTCGAGCTACGAAGTTTTTTGTAGCATTGGTTTATTTTTTACGATGTGGGGTTTGCTAGCTTCACTTCTAACCTCCCCTTTTTATCGTGCTTACTACCGGCCATGCGGGGTTTGGGGGTGCTTCAGCCGGGGATCGAACCCTTGACTATAGTCATGGTTGGGGAGCATTCTACCGCTGCGCACTATCGACACACGAATATAATTTAGAGATTCGAACCCAGGACCTTCCGGTTACAAGGCAAGCTCGTATACCATTCAGCCACTGGGACCCAATTCACTGGCTCATGAATTCTAACTTCTA